GGATGGTGCGTGCTGAATGGCTCAGTCTACCGACTGCCCGTCACTGCTGCTCGTACGTCGATACTGACTGACTGACTTCACTATTCTGCCTTGTCTTCGAGGTAATTCATCACTCGAGTACGTGCTGTCGTAATCGATATCAACCTGATTGCCGTTCCGGGGTACCATGTAAGCCGTCACACCGTCCGCCGTGTCGTATCTTGGATTCTCTACTACCGTTGGTCTCATGTACCTCCTCTGCACAGAATAATAATGCGAGATCGACCGCGCTGGCTACGACGCGTGGCGATCAGATTCATTCTCGTGGATCGGTCCCACATGACTGGAGTCATTTTCTCCACGTCTGTTTCGCCCCGTTCAGAGCAGTGTCTGTCGGCTTTCTTTAACCCCCACCACCAGTCAGGATTAGCGACCAAGCACAATACCATAGAAGGGCACGTACGTTTTCGCCCTACCCCGTTGCAATTATTTTTTTTTTTGACGGTGGTGTCATGCCAGATCTCACCCGCTCCTTTATTATTTCTTCTCACATGCGGCATACTCACACACACACACACACACACACACACACACACACACACACACACACACACACACACACACACACACACACACACACACACACACACACACACACACACACACAAAAGCCCACACTTACAGCCGCACATGTACATACAACACCAGGCCAGCGCAAGTACCCATATCCACGCGTGTGTCTTGCCTTGAAGAGGACGAAGAGGCGGGCGGCATCAACGCCGTGCTCGGCGATGGTCTGTGTTGGATCAACGCCGTTGTATTTCGACTGCACACACGCGCACACACGTATACACCAACATAAATACACGCATCGCACGCGAGTGAGTGACGCGAGTGAATGCAGCATGCACAAATGCAGCGAGCTGTTAACAACACACATACACATACACACACACACACAAACACGAAAAAACGATGCCCACGCACACACCTTTGACATTTTCTCCCATGTTGTGTCGACGGGCTGCTGTGTGGCAACTTCGACAACAGTGCCGTCTGCGCGCCTCTCCACCTCGTCGGGCTTGAGGTATTTCCCGTTGGCAGCAGACTTGTGCGTCTCACCGTGCACCATACCCTGTGCCAGCAACTTGGCAAAGGGCTCGCGCTGGGTCGTCAGCCCAATGTCTGCAGCCGCCATGCTGGAGGTGGCGGTCGTCCCAGGAGCAATAGAAGGAGGAAGGGTGGTTTTGGGAGGGGGGAAGCGGGAAAGGGATAAGGTTGGTTTGGTTGATGCTGCGGCATGGTTATGACCTTCATATGCAGACAACAAACACACACATGCACACACATGCACACAAATGCACACATGCACACACACAAACACACATGCACACATACAAACACACATGCACACATACACGCATGCACACAAACACAGACACACGTCGCATTGTGTCCCTCACACAACAGTGCAGTACAGTGCAGCGGATCCACAGCTATTCTCACTTGACGAAGCGCGCGTAGAGGAGGTGGAGGACAGCGTGCTCAATGCCGCCAATGTACAGATCAACAGGCATCTCTGCTCAAGGACGCAGGCAGCACAAGAGACACGGCATGAAACAGCACGCGCACACGTACGCATGCGTGTTTGTGTGGGCGATTGGGTGATTAGGTGAGCGCACGTGTGCATGGGGGTTGTGTCAGATAGTGAATGCGTGTTGCGTGAGCGCTGACGAGAGAATGACGTTGCTATCCATCATGGCGAGAGCAGAGTGAGCGAGGCCGAAGATCATGCACATCGACAAATAATGATGCGACGGCGCAAGTGTATTCTCGATGCAGGGTGACTCACTCTCGGCAGCGTCCTTGCCCACTGGTAGCTGCTCGTTGTCTGGGTCCAAGTAGCGGAGGAAATACCTTCAACGTAAAGCGAATTACAGGCGAGGCGAACGGGTCATCAAGTTGACATGGGAAGCAGGAGCCAAGTAGACGGTGAGAAGCCCGAGCACCCGTCCACAACGACAAACCAAAGGTGTACAAATGCAACCAAAGCTCTGTGTCCATACACATTTGCAAATGAAAACATGGTGACACACACACACACACACACACAGACACATAGACACACACACACACACACACTCAAACACACACACACACACACACACACACAACGCACCACGCCGAGTCGACAAAAGTGTCCATGGTGTCTGTGTCTCGGGTGGCAGGACCGTTGCACGAGGGGCACATGACATTGACAAACTGGTGATCGGTGGCAAGCGGGGAACGGCCTTTGCTCGTGTACTCCACACCCTTCATGTGGTTTGCGAGATGTGGGCAGCGATGATGGCCCAAGCAACAGCGTGTGAGCCATTGAAGATCAACCACACAAACACAGGGTAAGAGGACCCGCACAGACAGCATGAAACGACAGAAGAGTGTCCTGGACACCACACAATCGTGGCCGCACCTGTGGAAGGAGAACAGGGAGATCTGATTCGGGGACGGGCACAACACCGCATGCGCGGCAGTGGATGAGCGGGATTGGCGTGCCCCAATACCGCTGCCGGGACACAAGCCAGTCACGCAGCCTGACATCGCAGCGTAGAAACGAAAGGGGGGGGGGCAAACGTCGGTGGTGATCAAGATGAGGAAGTCCGGGGGGAGGGGCGTGTGAGGAATGGTGGAGACGACAAGAAATTGCGTTGAAGGAGACTTGACCAACGGTGCAAGATCTTGCCCACCCGTTCTGCAGCTACAGCCACACACACACACAGACACACACAGAGACACACAGACACACACAGAGACACACAGACACAGACACACAGACACACAGACACAGACACAGACACACACACACACATGCACGCACGCACAGACACACGCACGCACGCACGGTGCAGAGCATGTTGTGCCACCTGTAGGATGTCATGGGTCCGCCGCACTCGTTGCTGCGAGCGAGCTCAATGATGGCTGGAATCGCCTCCTCGACGCTCATGCCAGAGAACTTGCCGGAATTGACCAACGTCCCGTCCTTGCCCGTGTAGCAGCGTAAGACACCATCAATATCGCCACGATCATCGGCGTCGACGCCACTGCCCGTGCTTTCACCAGCGCCATCTGCTGTAAACGCAGGTTCGATGACATGTGTGATGGGCAGCCCTTCGTTGCGAGCAACCTTGAAGTCGCGCTCGTCGTGGGCAGGCACGCCCATCACCGCGCCCGTGCCGTAGCCATCAGCCACGTACGATGCCGCCAGCACAGGCAGCGAGCGACCTGTCAGCGGATGTGTCAGCGTAATGCCACGCAGCCTCTCCACGGCGTACGTGCCCTCCGTCGCCGCTGTCATGAGGTGCTGGCGCGTCGGTGTATCAAGGCGGTCTGCCAGCGGGTGCGTTGGCGACACGGCAATAAACTCCACACCAAACACCGTCTCTGGCCGCGTCGTGAACACACGCAAACACGTGTCTGTCGTGTGTGGGTTGCTCCTCTGTGTTCGCTTCGACACCCGGCTACCACTGCCAGTCCTGCTGCGCGCCTCCTGCTCTGCTGCTGCTGCTGTTGTTGTTGCTGTTGGGCGGACGCAAAAGTCGAAGAAGTAACCACGACTGCGACCAATCCAGTGCCGCTGCATCTCCTTGACGCTCTCCGGCCAGTCCACGTCGTTCAACCCGCGCTCAAGTTCCTGTGTGTGTTGTATTGTGTTGTATTGTGTGTTGTATTGTGTGTTGTATTGTGTTGTATTGTGTTGTATTGTGTGTGTTGTATTGTGTGTGAGTGTGTGTGCTGCGCGCGTGCATGTGGGTGTACGTGCACGCGTGTGCGTGTGCATGTGGGTGTGTTTACACGCCCATTCACGCGCACCACCTTAACAATGCGTGTATGGCATGCGTGATGCGGTACCTCTGCGTATTCAGTGATGCGCAGGAACCACTGCCTGAGGCGCCGCTTCTCGACGAGAGCGCCCGACCGCCACGACCGGCCCTCGGCATCAACCTGGACAGGGGACAACGCAGGCAGGGGCAGCACAAGTGAATAATGGGATGGATGGCTGTGTGTGTGTGTGTGTCGGAGTGAGCGTGGGTTGGGGGAGCGGGGTGAAGCTGTTGGGCATGTGCATGCACCATATGCACTGCCTGTAGATGAAACAAAAACACCACAGGAGAGGTCGTAGACAGAGACATGGAAAGAATAGGTAGAGAAACGAACACACACATAGACATACACACATAGACATAGACACACATACACATACACACAGGTACACACCTGCTCGTTTGCGAGCACGGTTTGGTCAACTGGGTCCCAGTTGACGAGGGCTTTATCCTGGTACACAAGGCCACGCTTGTGCAGCTGCAAGAACAGCCACTGCAGACACAACAGCACACGTGAGCGGGTGAAGCAGCACAGTGGTGAAGTAACTGTGTGTGCGTGTCTTGTGTATGTGTATGTGCGTGTTTGTGTTGTGTGTGGTGTCTGCGCGCGGTGTTGTGTGTGATGCAAGCAAGTGCAACAGCGAGCTGTGCTGGCCACATTCGCAGACCTGGGTCCACTTGTAATATGACGGCGAACAAGTGGTGACCTCTCGCTCCCAGTCAAAGCTGCAAGCCAAGGCATCAAGCTGTTCCTTCATGTAGGCAATGTTCCTGCTCATGTCCAAGTGAAGAGTGGCAGGTGGTCACTTGAGGACACGAAGTCGTTTGAACAAGCGACACAAGTGCAATGTGGCCAGCAAGTCGGAGGTGTGGGAGCAGCCATTGGGGGACTTTTACAGCCCATACAGCAAAGGAACATCAAGGAACTGCAAAGGCGCTGCACTGCGCTTGAGAGGCACAAGGAAACTCACGACATGGTCCAATCTGCAGGATCGATGTTTCGTTCAATGGCTGCGTTTTCCGCGGGCAGCCCAAACGCATCCCATCCCATTGGGTGAATGACCTGAATGAGTTAACAGGGAAGACGGACAGGAAAACCATTCCGGTAAATAAGGTGCTGTGGAGAAACGATTGCGTGCTCAACACCGAGCGCGTGCCATCTTGGGTGTCTCTGCGCGTGCATGTATGTGCGTGTGTGTAGACTGGCGAGCTGTGCAACACAGGCCCATCCACGATGACAGTCAAAAACATGCACAAACGCAGGTATCCATGCACATAGACGCAGCCATACAAACATACATACACACACATACGCACACACATACGCGCGCATGTTATGCCTGGCTGACCTCTTTGCCGGTTAAGCGGTGGAAGCGGGCAACCGAATCTGAGATGGTGTAGACGCGCACATGGCCCATGTGCAAAGCACCGCTTGGGTAAGGAAACATGGCCAATGCGTAGAACTTTGACCTGGCATGATCTGCCGCGGCCGACGCAGCTTCTTGTGCAGTTGCAGCTTGTGGGGACGCCCGAGTCATGGCCTCGTCCTTGAACGCCGCTTCCACTTGCGCGTGGTTGTACGCCGGGATCTCGCTGGCAGCAGCCGCTGCTCTCACCAGATATCGTCTGCGCACCACTCCCGGAGCAAAGCCACCTGCTGGCATGGCTGTCTGTGCCCTCATGACGCCGCATGGTCGCAGCAGCACCTTGCTGACCGCCGACATCACCAATAACCACAAGCCTTTGTTTGCACCCTTCACCTCCTCCTCTTGACTCACACACACCACCTTCCCTCGCTTCCGTCAGCAGCGAAAATCGTGAGAAGATAACCATCACTTTTCCCAACTTTGCTCGACTTTTTGTTGCTTCGTCCACTGCCAACAACACACAAACAACGATCATGAGCGACGACCCAGCCACGAAGAAGGCCAAGCTCTCGCACGAAGAGCGCCTGGACCGCCTGACCAAGGCGCAAGAGCGAGGTATGAGTGAGTGAGTGAGTGTGTGCGTGCGTGAGTGAGTGAGTGAGTGAGTGAGTGAGTGAGTGAGTGTGTGTCTGTGATTGAGTGAGTGTGTGAGTGAGTGTGTGAGTGTGTGTGTCTGTGCGTGAATGAGTGAGTGTGTGTGTGAGAGAGAGAGAGAGTGAGTGAGTGAGTGAGTGAGTGAGTGAGAGCGTGAGTGAGTGAGTGAGTGAGTGAGTGAGTGAGTGAGTGAGTGAGTGAGTGAGTGAGTGAGTGAGTGAGTGAGTGAGTGAGTGAGTGAGTGAGTGAGTGAGTGAGTGAGTGAGTGAGTGAGCGCGACTGAGCGACTGAGGTTGCCCGAGTGGAATTGGCCGAGGTTACACGCTTGTGCTTTTATGCAAGTATCAAAACGCCCAACACCCACCACATCCACACACTTGTGCCCTCTCTTTTGGCTCTCCCCTTTCTGCCAACCACACACACACATACACTCAGTTGTTTATTCACACTAACGCACACACTTGCACAGGATGGAAGCTGCAGAAAGACCGCGATGCCATTGAGAAGAGCTTCAACTTCAAGGACTTCAGTGAGGCCTGGGCCTTTATGAGCCGTGTCGCACTCAAGGCCGAGGAGCTGTGCCACCACCCTGAGTGGTTCAACGTGTACAACCGCCTGGACGTGACGCTGAGCACACACGACGTGAGCGGCCTCTCTGCCAAGGACTTTACCATGGCCGAGTTCATGGACTCTCTCACGGGCAAGTGATGATGTACTCACAGCAACACAGCAAGTTGGCGTCGGCCAGAGGAAGCGTCATGAGATGCGTCCATCGCGCTTGCTTGCTTGCATGTTCTGTGGGATGGTGTCTTCTGGCTTGTTGCACTGTGCGCACCATCACTGCCGCCCTTCCGTTTTGCCGACTCGACTTTCTGTGTCCCTCCATGTGCGTGCACGCGACCGTTGACGTTGCACCACCTCGTGAGCCAGCACAACACAACACAACCGACAATTAAACAAGCCAAACCAGCCAGCGTCAACCGACTACTGAAACCGCCCACACCATTTCAAGCTGGGCGGAATCCCAAATCGTCATACCACACAGGTTGGAGCTGACGTGACGATTTACGTTAATGTAATGAATGGCACGGGGTGGATGCAGATGTGATGAATACAGAGGGAGTCAGTCGTTTCAGAAACGTTCCTGCGTGTTTGCCTGCACTGAGTGCTCGAGCACTCACGTTCAAACAAGAAGCAAAGGAAGGCGCCTCCAAGTGCGCAAGCAATAACAGCGACAACAGCAACGCCTGGCAACAAAACAAAACAACGGCGCTGAAACACAAAAGGACGCAAGTCGAAAAGATGTCTATCTGTGTTGAACAAGTGCACACTGAAATGCGCGACTGACCGCGTGGATGAACGAACGTGCTGGAGTGAATGAACGACGAGGGGCGAGCGAGGATGAAAGAACAGACGCGCGGGGAACGGACAATGGGGTAACAGAGCAAGCCATGGGCGATGAAAGTAAGGGGCGAAGAGGAACCAAAGAGACGGATGGAAATGGAGTATCACTGACACAAAACCTTTGTCTCGTCCCCTAGGACAGCGTGTAACGTGTGGTTGAACGATGCAGCGAGTGGCGGTAGGGTGAAGAACACACATCAGGGCGGATGGGTCACTGCGCTGAGCTTGCTCTCACTGGAAGCAAGACAGATCCATGCTTGTAGGCAGTTGCTCATCGATGTTGAGCTCGAGGCTTTTCAGCACGTCTTCTCCGCTGCCAAGTGTGTCCCAGTTCAAATCCTCGAGGTCCTGGTTCGAGAAAAGCAGGCACGGATATGTGCACACATGGCGCGACGTGAGAAAGAGGGTAAAGCGGATGCAAAAACAGGAGATTGAGGGTTGGGGCAGTGGAAACGCGTGACACACCAACATGAATAAGCAAGCAACAAACCAACACGAGCACACACACACCCACAGACACACACCCACCCACACACACACACACACACAGACACACACCCACCACACACACACACACACACACACACACACACACACACACACACACACACACACACCTCGAGGTGGAGGTCTGCGTCAATGCCGAGGGAGCCAAAGATGGGGTCGGGAGCAGTGGACGTGTCCTTGAGTCCACCACGTTCGTCCAGCGTCAACTGAAACGGGAGGGCGAGGTGGTCCTGTGCTTCCGCGTCGAGAAGCGGCAGCGGATCTGAGATCATGTCGCCAGAGCCAAACCCATCGGCGCTCGCAACGCGGCTGAATGATGAGTGCAGGTTGCAGGGCGTGCCTGTGTTGGTGTGCCCCTGCCCGCTCTCATCCACGTGCAGTGACTTTGAGGGTGTGTGCGGGGCGGGCCATGTGGACGGCAGCAGACCTGCCTTGTCCGCGTCCTTGAAGAGCATGGCCGATGCCCGTCGTGGCAGGCTTGGCCCTCCCTCGCTTTGGGGAGCAGACTCGCTCTCTGCGTGCGAGCGCTTTCGGGTCTTGTTTGGCGATGGCGCGGATGCGTTGAGCAGCGAGTGCATCGTGGCGCCGCGACGCATGCGTGCACCCCCAGGCCCTTTCCGCGCCGCCCGGCTGATGCGACGCGGCGAGCCAACCTGCTGTTGCTGCTGTTGCTGCTGCTGCAATTCATCCTGCTGGTAGTGGTGTGCACTGTCTGGGCCTTGCATGTCGACGCTGCTGCATGGGGAGCTGGCTTCCATCTGCGCCGGCATGGACGAAAGCAGGTGCTGCTGCACGTACGATTCGGGGTCGCGCGGCTGGCCGTCCACGGGCATGGCCAGGTCGTAAGGGTTGGTGCCTGCGAGCGAGTGCGACGATGATGCAGGGGACGCAGCCTGTTGCAGTTGCTGCTGCTGCTGCTCTGCAGTGGAGCTGTGCCACTGCTGTGCATGTGCGCTGGTTGCAGATGTGTTGCCCGATGCGAGCGAGTCTGCTGTCCACGGCACGGCGGCGGAGAGCGGGCTGCCAGGGGAGTCGGAGCCCGACCCAGATGTCGCCGCTGCTGTTGACGTCTCTGCCACCTCCGGCAGCTGCAGCATGTGCGCCTTGCGCTGCTTCTCGCGCTTGGCGAGTATCCTCTTCTCGCACATGACAATGTCGCGCTTCATGAGCTCGACCATGTCTGGCTTGAGGCCCCACAGGTTGCCCTTGCCGTCGTCGCTGGACGCGCGCTCCACCTTCAGGAAGAACTTGTTCAGGGAGAGGTTGTGGCGGATGGAGTTCTTCCAGCCCTTCTTGGCCGTGTTGAAGTACGGGAAGCGCGCGCAGATGTTGCGGTAGAGGTCGCCCACGGCCAGCTGCCGCTCCTCGCTGTCCAGCATGGCCATGCCGATGATGCACGGGAAAGAGAGCGGGGGCTTCTCCAGGTGGCTGCCGTCCGCTGACGTGCGGTGTTGTGCGTACCTCTGCTGCAGAGCCTCAAAGTCCTGCTGCAGTGTTGGCGACAGCTGGCGCCGGTGCAGCACAGAGTCGAGCGAGCCACCGCGCCGCATCAGCGCCCCACGAGGACGCCGCGTCTTGCTCACACGCCCGCCACCCGTGCGGTGGACACGGACCTTGGCCGGGCTGCTGGTGGCGCTGGTGTTGCCGCTGGCGCTGCCGGGCACGGCGGCGGGCCTGTGGTATGGGCTGTGGCCTGCCCAGACATGCTGCTGGTGGTGGTGTTGCTGTGGGTGGGCGAGATGATGCCCGTGGTGGCGTGGCTGCGGCTGTTGCATCTGCTGCTGCGTCTGCTGCTGATGTTGATACTCTTCCTCCGGGTACACGTGCTGGGGTGTGGCTTGGTAGCGCTGGAAAGGTGTGTGCTGGCTGGCGTGCGGGGAGCCTGGTCCGCCATGGTATTCGCGCTCATCAAAGGTGAAGATGTGCGGCGCAGAGTGGCGGTGCTGCTGCGGCTGTTGGTATGGCAGCTGCAAGTGGTGCTGTTGGGCATGCACGCCCTCGTCACTGCCCTCGTTGCTGCCATAAACGCCATACGCGACGGATTGTTGCTGCTGCTGCCGCTGCTGTTGGTAGTGCTGCTGCTGCTGCTGCTGCTGTTGTTGTTGGTGCTGCTGCCCAGGCGGGGCTGGTGGCGGCGGCATGAAGTGCGCGGCATCCTGCATCATGCCGAGGCGTGACGGCATGGCTGTGCGCGAGCCTTGATAGACGTTGACCAGGCTTGCGTGGCGTGCAGGCATGGGGCGTGCGGTTGTGTGGGATGGGCTGGTCATGCCGTGGAAGGAGCTCTGGCGCAGTGGCGGCCCTCTGCTGCTGCTTCGCGGATCACTTGGCACATCGAAGTCTTGGAAGCGAGGCACTTGCTGCTGCTGCTGCTGCTGCTGCTGCTGCTGTATGTGTGGTTGTTGTTGTTGCTGCTGCGGTTGTTGTTGTTGTTGTTGTTGCGGAACTGCGAAGCTGCTTGGTGTGGGTGGCTTGCTTGCGTGGCTGCCTGGGGTGAGGCGGTGCTGTTGTTGCTGCTGTGGCTGGGCCTGCATTGCGGCTGTTGTTGCGCTGCTGCACCGGCTTGGATGCGCAGCACTTGGGCAAGACGCTGCGTTCGCGCTGTTTGCGCTGTTGGTGTTGTTTTCGAGCTCGTTGGCAGAGCTCCCTGGCCGGGACGGGTGCTGGCGGCTCAGCGTGGGTGGCGGCGTGAATCGCTCCGTGTGCTGTGGCCAATTGGGGCTTGATGAGCGTTGGCTCAAAAGACGAAGGCCTGTCAATCAGGAGTGACATATGCGTGTGTGAGTGAGTGTTTGTGAGTGAGTGGGCAAGCGAGCGAGTAAGTACGTGAGTAAGCGAGTGAGTAAGTGAGTGAGTAAGTGAGTGAGTAAGTGAGTGAGTCAGTGAGTGAGTGGGTGCGTTTGGTAGGGACCACCACAGCGCAAGACATGGCGTTGGTACGCACTGTGTTGGGAGTCTGTTGACTTTGGCTCGGGGGACTTGACGGCGGAGAACGTGTGTTCGCGGAAGACCTTGGGTGGTTGTGCGACGCTTTCGGTCTGCTCAGCCTTCTCAAGGTTCATCGTCTGTGGGATGTGTTGTCACAGATGAGACTCTGTGAGCACCACGACAACAACCACGGTCACTGCCTCAAACACACACACACACACACGCACGCACACACACACACACACACACACACACACACACACACACACACACACACACACACACACACACGCACCAAACGATGTCGTTGATTCGGGGTCGACTGGTGTGTGTACGTGAGTGTGCAAACGACAGACGGTCCAAATCGTGGGAGTGGCAAGGGATCACCTCAAGGTGAGACCCTAGTCAACACTATTCGAGAAGCGAGGCACCGCGTGTAGTGGTGATAGCTTCGTCGCCTGTTTGGCAGTGCAAGCGGAACAGAGTTGAGTGCGTGTGTGTGTGTGTGCGATTGTTGGTTTTGAATGTGATGTTTGTTGCTGTTGATGTTGTTGTTGTTGGACAAGGTTGAGGAGGTGTGAATGGATCATGCTGTGCGAGATGTCCGTCTGCGGTGTGCTGTTCGTTGCCCTCACACATCACACTGCCACAGCGCTTCACCTCCATCTTCACACACACACACACACACCTCTTGCTGAGAAGACGAGCGATAGAGCTGATGGGAAAATGAGCTGTTACACGCAGAGCCACACACACTGATGTTCAGGTGTATGTGTAGTCCAGCGCCCTTTTGCGTGCTTTGCTGGTGTGCGCTTCAGAGAGGTCGCAGCAGGAGGCGGTCGAAGGAGGCGATATTGATGGATGGTGTGTGTCTTGCTTTTGTGGTTGAAGATGAAACCAAAAGGGTCGCGGGTGAAGTGCGGCTGTCTCGCTGCAGCGACAAAGGAAAAGCATGGTGACATGCATGCCCTCCTCTGCTCACTGGTTGGCAACACAAGTCCTTCCGTGGTGGCAACGATGGGTGACCTTGCACGTCATGCATGCCAAGGCGAAAGTAATCGGCAAATCTTCCGCAATTTTTCGTCAACGGTGCATACGCGACGCCCAAACACCACTTGGGTGGCGAACGGCAGCACGAAAGCTGTGGGAAGTGGCGCAAAAACCAGGGTCGCGTGTGGGTAGTGGTGTGCTCGATCCTCAATCCTCGTCGCAGCGCAGCAGGACAACGAGCAACATCCACACCCTGCCATGGCGCACATTGGGGCACGAGGACTGCTGAGCTCGGAACGTGGGCTGGGCCCATCATTGCGCACGCGCACGATTGATGTCATTCTTGCAGCAGGGGCAACAAAGAAACACCTTGTTGGTGATGATGATGAGGAAGGCGCGCCGCATGCCAATGCCAGGAGGGACGAAAGTCAAGGTGAATATGGGCAGGGTTTGGATTTTTCGGTCCGGGGTGGGCGAGAACATGGCATCCCCATCGTCGTGTCCAGTGTGGAGAAAGGCGGCGCAGCCTGCAAGGCGGGACTCGAGGTCGGCCACGAGATCTTGGCCGTCAACGCCACCAGCTTGCACAACGCCACCCACAGCGAAGGTGTGCAGGCGCTGGCAGCGGCTTGTGCAGGAACGAAATGTGGTGGATTTGGCGCCAACTCACCCATACAAGCAGCACCCGCGGCGCCAGTGAACAGCGGCACAAGCGAAGACGATGAACAGCAGCAACAGCAGCCGCCGCCGCAGCAGGGGCCCATCGTCATCTCTCTCACGGTCCGCCTCAACC